TGACAGCTGAGCCATCTCAATTCTCTACTTTAGTTGGTTAAACAACAGTGCCTTAGTGAATGCTTCTGACCTAGTGCAGAACAAGAAAGAAGCAAGATGAAGTCTGGCTTGACCCTTGTGAACAGCAGAACATTAACAATGAGAATTAAATTAGATTTTGACTATATTCAATACTATTTGTAGCTGCAAAACTTACAATTTTTGACATTGATTAGCATTCTGATTTGAGTGAAGGACTAAGCTGTGTTCCATGCCAGTGATATCATCTATGAAAAATGACTATGAAGTTCTTTTGTGATTACAAAATGCTATATAAATACTATAAATTTAAAATAATAAAAGTTCTAGGATCAGTTTAACTAATTTTATGTTGCTAGACTGTTCTTTGGTTTCATGCTTCAGTAAGAACACCACTACCCTAAGATGACTATAAACTTCATGTACTGCAAACATGTCCTAATATAATAAAAATTAAAATTCTAAAACAGAACATTGATGTAGGGTAAAGACAAGAAAAAGAACCTTCTGTGTCCTAGGGAGTCTCAGTATAAACAATCCCATGTTTAATCCCACACCACTCACAGAGGATAATGTAAGGCACTTGTTTGGAGTTTTAAGATATTTCTTTAAAATAACTTGTTATTAGTATGAATTTGAGAAAAATAATTGTGCTTTTTAACTGTTTGCTTCAAGTACCAGTTACAGGAAACAATGAAGTGCACATCTCAGAGGGAAAGAAACGCAATCAATACTTAACAGAGAAAGTGGCTGTTATTATCTGCATAATAAGAGGTTAGTTTGATTGAGCTTAGCATGTTATGCTTTTGGTTCAATGCTTTCTGAAGACTGGGCAGGAAAAGGGAGGGGAGGGAACTGATGTGTCTTGTGAGCATTGGTTTCCTTTGGATGAACTATGAAAGATAACTTTGTGCTTAGGAAAGCTATGAAAATAAACTCAGAAAGCTTTAAATGTCTTAAAACTCTAGGTGTATGTGTAAACACATACACACACACACACACACACACACACACACACACACAGCCCTGATTAATTATATCTATCTTCTATGTAAAATATCTTCAGGAAAAAAACATTCTGCTTTGTACAATAGATGTTTTTGAAAATTTGGCTGGAAAAAAATTTTACAAACTACATCTATCAGGATTATTACTGAAAGGACTATTAACTAGTACTTCTTTTTGCAAACCAAAGATTGCTATTAAAAGTGATCTTTGGGCCAGGGATTTAGCTCACTGGTTCCACTTGCAAGTACAAGGTCCAGAGTTCAATTCTTCCCCACCCCAAAGTGATCTTTTCCCACAACACAGCAACTTCACAAAGATTCTAAATGCCCAGAGGTAGAGCTCACCACAGAAACACACATACACACAACTCTGTGCCATATTTTTCAACCACTGCAGCCTCTGATTCCTGTCCTCAGGCTCATTCGTGGTGGCTGGATTTGATGCTTTCTACCGTTCCTCTGGTTTTAGAACAGGCTATGACTGAAACGTGGCAATGGGGTTTGGGCTTTGATTATCCTCCTATATCCTAATCAAGAATCCTTTCTCTCTTTTAGCTTTTGCTAATTCTACAGGAAATGATGGGTTAAAGTATTCCTCTTCCTTTAGGCAGACTAGCTGACTTTCCAATTTATCTCCCTTTCCCATTCCCTACTCCTCTCTCTGCTTGATTTCTTTCTTTCATAATGTACTGTATAACATTTCCATTTTCAAAGTTGAAATCACGCTTATTTCCAGGTGCTCTTCTATTTGTTGAAAACAAATGTGAAGGAAAATAGCCAAGGTGCAAGCACAGTGGTTCTCAAAGTGATTCTTGAACCAACACTGTCAACATCACTTGGGAACATGATAGAAACAAAAATTCTTGCACCAAGAATGGTGGCACTTGGGATCCTAGCCACTAGCCTGTGATCTCAGCTATATACCTGTGATCCCAGCCACACACCTGAGATTCCAGCTACATAACTATGATCCCAGCTACATGAAAGGCTCAGAGAGGAGGATCACAAGTTCTAGGCCAGCCTGGGCAACTGAGTGAGACCTTGTCTTTAAAATCAAAAGGGGGGGGGCAGGGATTTAGCTCAGTGGTTTCGCCGCCTGCTGTGCAAGCGTAAGGACCCAAGATCGATCCCCAGTACCAAAAAAAAAAAAAATCAAAAGGGATTGGGATACATCAGTTCAGTGGTACAGCCCTTGCTAGCATAGCCCTGGCTAACTGTCAGTACCACAACAGAACAAAAGAAAAAAAGGCAAAGAAATGAAAATTTCTAGCCAACCCAGATCAGCTGAATCAAAAATTGCGTGGGCTTGACACTCTATTTTAATAAATCCTCCAGGTGATTTTTATGCACACAGAATTTTAAGAATCACTAGTCTGGAAAAAACGAAAGTGTCTCACAAATATTTTGGATAAAATGAGGCACTAAGAAGAATTAACTCAGTATTACTGACAAAGAATAACTATGACATTCTGCATAATGAAAAAAAGGAACTCCAAAACCAAAAGTATAGTACAATTTTATAAAAAATTTTAAAAACAGAAAAATGTCTAGAAGGCTATATATCAAACTCTTATAAATAGTGGTTAACTTGGGGAGAATTCATTTTATTTTTCCTTTATGAATGTTTGTATTTTTCATCTATAAGCATATATTATCTTATAATTTTAAAAATTATAATTTTTTAAAAATGGTTAATATAGGTATCTTCCCACTGGTCTCTGGCAAAACTCAGAGTTATAACTCAGTCTCCAATAGATTTTGCTGTCTAGACTAATCAAATTTTATGATGCTTTAGGGAATTCCAAAGGAAGTGAGGCAGAGATAGTACTCAGTCCTCCATGACTCAATCAGTGCTTCTATGAAAAGCCACTGTTCCAGGAAATGACAGGTCATAAAGCCTGAGAGATGCTGCCCATCTTAAATAGGCCAACTTGAAAAGGGGGATGGGAAGGAGTTGAGGGAAAACAGAAGAGACCGAAAACGTAAGGGTTCTTGTGGAAGATTCCAACTTATTTCTAGGAAATTTTTCTTTATTTTTAAGTGGCCTATTTTTCACCATCCCTCCTGACCTAGTACTCATTCTTCAATTATGTTCACCCTTCTTCAAAATAGCTTCAAGGATATACAGCATATGCATATGGCAGACTAAGAAAGGACCTGAAGGTAAAAAAGATGGTGAGCATGTACCCACATACCCAAGATCAAATCAGGTCCTTTAGCTTATGATGCATCATAGGGGATTCCTGAGGCTTCCATGGATTCTTCTCATGGGACCACTCAATCCTTTCACTTCTAGTAAGTTTTCCATCAGATGCACTACATTCTTTCACAAAGGAAGCCAAAGTATTTGACATGCATCATCTTTCCCTCTTCACTGTCCTGCTGATTACAAGCATATGGGTATGGCAGAAACAGAAAATACAGTTGTCTCCTTTATCATAGCTGTTACCCTAGAAACTAGGTAAATTTGCTAAGGAAAGCTTTCAGTAGTCTTTAATAAAGTCAGTGGTTCAATTTCACTAAAGGAAAAGCTACTTATACCAGTCTAGCTCAGACTTTCTCCTAGTCTGAGCTAGAAAACTTGATTGAAGTTACTCTGTTTTTCTATCAAGACACACAGTTCTCTGGTACCCTAACTACACCAGGATACAAGAGATAACACTAATGCCCCAATGCTTTCAGTGTCACATAAAGAGAAAATTATTTTGTAGACTGGTGGTTGCAGCCATCTTTTGAAGAGCCTGTCACTGTCTATGAGTCCGACTCACAATGTTTTAGCTTAGAATACAGAGGCACAAAATGATAACATAGTAGAAAAAGGATGAAACCTAGGACACAAAGTATAGACAATGGAATCAGAGTTTGAGTACCACCTCTATATTATACTAGAGTTGGAGCAAATGATACTACCTGTCCAAGCCTCAGTGTCCTTATCAAAAAAACAGGAATAAGACGCTACTTTACAGGGTTAATGCTGTAATCAAAAGCATATAAAGGGTTAAAGAATGAAGAATTCAGTGTTTATGAGTACAGAAATCACTTTAGGATAATGAGAAAATACTGGAGATAGATGGTGCTGATGGTTACATAACAATATAAATGTATTAAATACCACTGAACTATACACTTAAAAATGGTTAAAATTTTATTTTGTGTATTTTACCACAATTATGTAAACCCCCTACCACAATACCTATCTCTCAGTAGGTGCTCAAGAAATGCCACCCCATTCCCTTTACAAAGAATTTAGGGGGGAAAAAGGAACACACAAAGTAAAATAAAATTATGTTCCTCTTCCTTACTTAATCGTGAAAGGCTGTGAGTCTCAGGCAGAGCTAGCTGGTCCCAACAACAGGTAGTGCTATAATAAATGTCTCAGTAGGAAGGAGAAGAGAGTTTCTGTTAGTCATAATCCCTCCGGCATGTTCAGTTTTCAATCCACCCCCATCCTGGTATGGCACCTCCCAGAATATCAACCCCCCAGGCCTCAGCATATTGTTTAAAAAAAAATCTGGGACATTTAAACCATTTCCCAGACCAGACTCTAGGTCAAAGGGAAAAAAGCATGCATGGTGGCAGCTGACTCCAGTAAACGGGGGAGACATAAGACATTAGCACTGAAAACCAACTGAATGCTGTTCCAGTACTCAGTATTATGCTAATCAGCATCTCAGATGCCTTTGGCTGGATTTAATGGACAGAAAGTCTCAAAAGCCTAATAAAGATTAAAAATGTACTTCTTTGCAGTTCAGGGAAAACAATTAATGATTACATGTTATAAGTCATAAAAAAGAGAAGGGAGAAAATCGAGGACTTAACTTCTGGCATATTAGAACACTGTTTCTGATGGGCAGGCTTAATTAGATCATAATGTAATATTTAGACAGATGATCATTAATATCTCTCAAACTTAGTGCTTGGAGAACAAAATGTTTGAGGTAACCAACACCCAACTAATTCCAAATCAATACTTACTTTAGGGTCTGAGCTCTTAAACTTTAACCTTTCCACCAACTCTATCATAGCCGCCTTCAGTCCACCTGAGTCTTTGCTCTAGAAAAAAGAAAAGTCAAGGGTCACTAGATAGCATTTTGATGCCCTCTCCAACACAAAGCATTTCAGAGGACAATGAAATAAAAAGCAATTTTTTTCTTCTCATCAGCAAAGAGAAATGAACGACTAATGAGTCCTGCATTGACCCTCTTTCCCTTCTTTAAAGACAAAGAGGGTCTGGACATAAATTGCCCAGTGACCTGAAGAGAGAACTACTGGGATGAAAATTAAATGCAGTTTGTACAGGCTGACTCGCTTCTTCATCTCAGACTCAACTGTGCTGGTGTTCACAGTGGCAGAGGCCCTGCAAGAGATTTCTATCTTATGGCCTACTGATTTTTTACTTGGAACTTTAATGTGCCAGATCAGAAGTATATAATATTAAACATTCTTATAAAAATAAAACACCTGGAGATTTAATTGAAAATGGAACTATAGTGTAGTGATTAAGAGCAGGTTTTTCAGTCAGACATATAAGATTACAAGTTTGAAGTCTGTCATCTAGTTGACTAATCTAGAGCAAAATACTGAATTTCTCAAAATCTTTTCCTTCATTTATAAAATGGGGGTAATAATCAAGGCTATTATGGCCTTAAAGAAATGTATTTATACATGTGTGTCCTATTTATTTTATTGAGTATCATGGGCATCCATTTAGCTATAAATGTCTCTATTTTCTCATTCTTTAATACTGAGTAATACTCCATTTTATTAAAAATGCCCCACGTTTTCTTTATCCAGTCTCCAGTTGATGGGCAGTTGGGTTGGTTCCAAGTTGTACCTATCAGGAATTGTGCTATGAATATGGGTGCACGTATATCATTGTGGTATGATTCTTTTAATTCTTTGGGGAAGATAACCAGCAGGGGAATAGCTGGGTCAAATGGGACTTCCAGTCCTAGTTCTTTGAGTTATCTCCATACTGATTTCCACACTGGTTGCACCAGTCTACACTCCCCCCAGCACTGGAGTAGGGTTATACCTAACAGGTTATACCAAATAGTTTCTCTAGTGTGAGAAACTGAAAGAGTAAATAAGGACTAAAAGGTCTAATAGATTATGTGAAATAGGAAGAAAAGGTGCAAGGGGAAAGGGGAAGTGGGAGGGGTAGGGGGAAAAAAGACAGGAATGGAATTAATATGAGAAAAAGAAAAAAATAGAAACAAAGTCTTTGTAGATGGGGGGGTGGAGGGGTTGAAGGGAGGGCAGGGGAATGGGGAAAAAATAAGAACCAAGATGAATTATCTAAAGGTGCAAATTTCCAATGATGAATGTCATTATATTGTATACCTAAAATGTACCAATAAAATTACTAATACTAAAAAAAAATAGTGGTTGCTAGAGAAAAGGTGCTCAATAAATACTACATATTAGTAAAAAAAAATAATGTTTATGGAAGTATTAGCAAAGTTTGTGGCATAAAGTAAGTGCTTCAAAAAGTCACCTGTTAATGTTATTACTATTACTGCAGTGTAATAACAGAAAGTACTAAGCAACAACTCCTCAGCCTCTGAGAGATCTGGAATCCAGACACTGGAAAGTAACAACTTGGAGAAGGAAAAAAAGAGAAGTAGATCCCAGGGAATCAGTCTCTGACAAGAAAATTAAAAACTACAAAGAAATTGAACAATCTTCACACTTTCTCCCTGGCTTGTGGCTCAAGGCTCAAAGAGAGACCAGAACTACAGAAAGAAACCAAAATCTGGGGACTCCAGAGTACTCTATGACATTTTTATGACATTAATAATATTATGTACATTCCCAGAGAACTTATTTGTTGGGATAATTACACTGCATCCTGCTCTCCCAAATTAACTAAGGTGGTCAGATCTTAGGGCTGAGGCAAAGGACTATTGTTGGCCAAGCCCAAAGTATATCAATGAAAGACATCACTATACTAGCAACAAAGTCTGCACTATAAGCACAAACCTCATCACAAAACCAAACAAACAAAAAGTAACATGAGAAGACAAGACAGCAAAATGCCTCCCAAAACTCCCAACTCCCCCAAAACCAATCCAGGGGACACAGAGGGGCAGAATAGCATATGCCATATACCCACATTACTTGAAAGGATAACAAGAGAGGTTAGAAAACAGATCAAGAAGTGATCTGGGGCCAGGGATTTAGCTCAGTGGTGCCGTGCCTGCCTCGCAATCTCAAGGTCCTGAGTTCGATCCCCGGTACCCCCCCAAAAAAGAGGTACTCAGCAGGATCACAGAAGATATAACTAAACAGATAATGACAGTAATAACCAAAATGTCCAGGAGCTTTCACAAGACACTAATAAAAACCTAGATAAGATAAATAAAATGATATAAAACATGAATGACAAGTTTAGCAAAGAATTACAGTCTATGAAAAGGTTTCAATCAGAAATCCAGGAGATTAAAAATTATATTGAAAAGTATGGGCAGCAGAAGCAACTGATATGACAAAACTTTGGAACTAGAAGACTTCAAAGACCAACTACACTGCACCCTTAAAGACACCTTAAAAGCTAAAACAGAACATGAAAAATGGATCCAACCAACACTAGATGCCACAAACAAGATTAATTGAAGAGTAATTCAAATAAGTGAAAAATCAGAAGACAACACAAATGGCATAAAAAAAAAACCTATTCACAGAAATAATGACAGAAAATTTCCCCAAAATTGGGAAAGATAAAAGCATATAGACAAGTGAAACATACTGAATCCCAAATAACCACAACTGAAAGAGAACCCCTCTCGGTGCCACATTATATTCAAAGTACTGGAAGTCCATCACAGGGACAAAGATTTCAAAAGCTGTTAGAGAAAGGCAACGAATCATACATAAAGGTAAACAAATTAGAATTACAACAGACTTTACTACATAAATCTTAAAGACCAGGAGGGCTTGGAGTAGTGTTTCAAATCCAATAAAATAACAACTTCCAACCCCAACTTATGTATTCTGCAAAACTTTCCTTCAAAAATTGATGGAGAAATAAGTTACTTCCATGACAAGGAACACCTCAAGAAATTAGTGACCACCAAACCAGCATTACAAAAAGTTCACAAGGATTATCCTAGAAAGAGATAATGAAGCCAACAAGACCAGTAAGTCAAAAAGAATGAATACACCTGGCAGGATGACCAGTTAAAAAGCGGGGGGGGCGGCAAAATCAGCAAGAAGAAAATAAGGCAATGACATGAGGGAAGTCAGTATCTCTCAGTAAAACCTCTCCATGTGAATGGTTTCAATTCCCCAATCAAAAGATACAGGTTGGCAGAATGGATTAAGAAACAAAACCCAATGATATGCAGTATCACAAAAATATGCAAGAAACATATTTAATTCAAAAGGAAAATCAGATTAAAACTCAAAGGATGGAAAACAATATCCTATGAAACATGAACCTAGAAGAAAGCAGGAGCAGCTATCCTAATTTCAGACAAAGTTGATTTCAAGCCAAGACTGATCAGAAGGCACACACAAGGTCATTACATATTAGTGAAGGGAACAATTGAACAAAAAGAGATAAAAATTATATACATATAGGCACCAAATACCAGTGCACCAAATTCAAACAACAACCACTAATGAACATAAAATATCAGATAAACACCACTACAACTGTAATGAGGGAACTTAATAACCCACTGTCACAAAAGGACAGATGAACCAGACAAAAAAAGTCAACAAAGAAATACCAGAGTTGAACCAAACCTTCAAACAGACAGACTTAATAGATATCTACAGAGTGATCCATCCAACAACAGGATACACATTCTTCTCAGCAACACATAGACTTTCTCCAAAATAGACCACATACAAGCCCATTAAGCATATAAATGCAAAATAATCCCATGTATATTATCAGATTATAGTACAATTAAACTAGAAATGAATTTCAAAAGAAACCACAGAAACTACAGAAACACATGGTAATTAAACAATACCCTCTTGAATAAATCAATGGCTCACAGGTGCTATTAAAGAAGAAATTAAGACAGTTCCTACAATCAAATGATAATATCAATACGACATACCAGAAACCATGGAGACAATGAAAGCAGTCCTAAGAGGGAAGTTTATAGTGGTGAATTCCCACAGGAGAAAAACAGATGACCATCAAATAAATAACCTAATGATGCACTTCTAGGTCTTAGAAAACCAAGAATAATCCAAATACAAAGCTAGAAAAAGGAAGGAAATTATGAAGAAATTAATGCAATTAAGACTAAAAAACAACAACAACAACAAAGAATCAGTGAATCAGAGTTGGTTCTTTGAAAGAATAAACAAAATACATAGATAAACCCTTAGCTAATCTTACCAAAATAAGAAAAGACCCCAATCCATGCAATTAGAAATGAAAAAGGCAAAATCACAATGATTCTACCAAAATCCAGTAACTATTTTGAGAACCTGTACTCTAATAAAGTAGAAAATTCAGAAGAAATTGATAGATTCCTAGATACATATGAACTACAAAAGCTGAACCAAGATATAAAAATCCTGAATAATCCACTATCACGCAATGAAATTGAAGATTAAAAAAAAACAACTAAGAAAAGCCCAGGTCCTAAGAGATGCACTGCTGATTTCTACAAGAACATTAGAGTAGATCTAATGCCAGTAGTCCTCAAAAATCACGTGATCTGCTCAATAGATGCAGAAAAAACATGACGTAGTCCAACATCCATTTATGATAATATACGTATAAAAATACATATTTATTTCAACCCGATAAAAAGCCATTTATGACAAACCAATGAGTAACATCATACTAAATAGAGAGAAGCTGAAAGTTTTCCTTCTAAAATCAGAAACAAGACAAGGATGTCCACTGTCATCACTCTTGTTCAATATAGTTCTCAAAACATTAGCCAGAGCAATTAGACAAGAGAAAGAAATAAAGGGGATACAGATAGCAAAGAAGTTAAATTATCATTATTTGCAGATAACATGATCCTCTAAATAAAGGACCCCAAAAACTCCAACAAAAGACCCCTAGAATAACCAAATTC